TGTAAGTGGTATTTATTGTCAATACCGTAAATACAAATAAATATCAGGGCAATAAAAGCTCCACCTGTACTCATTTATTTCAGTTGTTCTTTAATTCACAAATTCAAAGAAGAACATATATAAGAAAACACCAAGATTTATATAAAACGGCACTCATTCAAGAAACAGGTCGACTAAATGACTTAATAAGGACTTTTAAGTTAGAGGTACAATCCTTCATTAAGTCCATACTTGGCATGTTAGCAGGAATTGCGCTGGGTATGAGCTTTTAAAAATACATTAGAAAGTTGCAAAATCGTTGCGAAGGAACATGAGCATTAAACAAATTTTGATATGTCAAAGTACCACTCATTTGTTACTTCTAAGTACTATATAGGTTGGTTTTAATACCACTAATGTGTTAAAGTCTTTCAACTACACATACTCTAAATACAAAAGGCCCAGAGGGCCTGTATCGCTCACCTGAATAGCAAAATATTCTCATGAAATATTATCCTGTACTACAAATATTTCATTATTTTTAAGAAGTTGTTTGACATATTTGACCCCTTTGACCTTATAAGGAAATCTAGGTTATTTTCATTTTCTAACTTTGTCAGGCGCCATCCCAAAAAGCTACCAGCTAAATATTATAAAACTATGCTCTAAGATTATGCAAAATAAGTCGTTTAATGTTTTAACATATTTGACCCCTGTGACCCAGCTCTATCCCAGGAAACCACCAGCCAAATATGTTATATCTTTTAGTTTTCCAGAAGAAGTCATTTGAATTGTTTGACACATTTGATTCCTGAGACCCTGAAAGCAGGTCAAGGTCATTTTCATTCTCAAATTTTCTCGGACTCTATACCTGGAAACCACCAGCTAAATATGAAGATTCCATACCTTTTAGTTCTCCAGAAGAAGTCATTTGAATTGTTTGACACATTTGATCCCTGAGACCTTGAAAGCAGGTCAAGGCCATTTTCTTTCTCGAACTTTCTCGGACTCTATACCTGGAAACCACCAGCTAAATATGAAGATTCCATACCTTTTAGTTCTCCAGAAGAAGTCATTTGAATTGTTTGACACATTTGATCCCTGAGACCTTGAAAGCAGGTCAAGGCCATTTTCTTTCTCGAACTTTCTCGGACTCTATACCTGGAAACCACCAGCTAAATATGAAGATTCCATACCTTTTAGTTCTCCAGAAGAAGTCATTTGAATTGTTTGACACATTTGATCCCTGAGACCTTGAAAGCAGGTCAAGGCCATTTTCTTTCTCGAACTTTCTCGGGCTCTTTCCCAGGAAACCACTAGCAAAGTATAAAGATTCTATACCTTTAAGTTCTTCAAAAGAAGTCATTTGAAGTGTTTGACACATTTGACCCCTTAGAAAGTAGGTAAAGGTCATTTTCATTCTCAAACATTGTCGGGCTCTATCCCAGGAAGTCAACAGCCAAATATGAAGATTATATACGTGTCAGTGCTTCAAAAGAAGTTGTTTGAAGCGTTTCACATATTTGACCCTTGTGACCTTGAAAGTAAGTCAAGGTCATTTTCATTTTCATTTTTTTTTGGAACTCTATCTCAGGAAGCCACCAGCAAAAAATGAAGATTCTATACTTCTTATGTCTTCAGAAGAAGTCGTTCGAAGTGTTTGACATATTTGACCCTTGTGACCTTGAAAGTAAGTCAAGGTCATTTTCATTCTCAATTTTTTTTGGAACTCTATCTCAGGAAGCCACCAGCAAAAAATGAAGATTCTATACTTCTTATGTCTTCAGAAGAAGTCGTTCGATGTGTTTGACATATTTGACCTCTGTGTCCTTGAAAGTAAGTCAAGGTCATTTTTATTCTCAAACTTAGTTGGGCTTTATCCAAGAAAGCCGCGAGCCAAATATGAATATTTTATACCTTTCAGTTCTTCAGAACAAGTCGTTTGGAGTGTTTGACACATTTGACCCCTGTGACCTTGAAAGTAGGTCAAGGTCATTTTCATTCTCAAAGTTTGTCAGGCTCCTACCAACAAAGCCTTCAGCCAAATATCATGACTCTAGGCTTGTTCGTTCTCCAGAAGAAGTTATTTAAAAAAAGGTTGACGGACGACAACGGACGTCGAAAGACGGACGCCGCACCATGACGTTAAGCTCACTTGCCCTTCAGGCAGGTGAGCTAATAATGATGCAGTAAGCATAAAGGCACTTGCATATCATTAAAAGTTGGTAAGAGATTATAAACGAATCTGATGGTTATATATGGAAAGAGAAAAGATTCATGATTAACTCATTTGAATTCGTATTTTCGTGAATAAAAGATATTTTGTTCATTTGAAGAATAAACCTAAGCCCTTTTACTTTACAGTAAACTTTGATTTTAGTATATTTAAATTTTCAAAGCATTTTTTTTATATATATTTTAGATGTTTTGCAAAGGTTGTTCTAAAAAATCAATAAATAATTTTGCAATCTAGTCTAAAATATTCCAGTCTCTTTTTTTCTTATGTTTAGAATTATTCTTATATGCACATATCTTGTTTTTCTCATTTCAAAACGAGATGTCATGTATGCGTTCAATGATAATAGGAGCTGTATATAAAAATTTATATACCGACAGTTCTTGCCACGAGTAGAACTCTCATGCATTAAAACAAAATACTGATTATAATACCATGCATAACAGGCATATTATAATCACGGATTACTTATGATCGATCAAACAAAATATGTTGACCGTTTCTACGAGCTGTTGGTCAGTCCTTAGTTGGGCGTTTTTCATCGAGAACGACCCGCAATAATCTGCATGTGAGTAACGTTCATCATTCATGAATAAAGTCCGAGGTTAAAGCAGGTGGAAACAATTTCGTTACTATAATACATATGTATGGATGTATTTTCAGAAATTAGCATTGCCGGGTCAGTTGAGCTACTAGTATATGTAATGATATAGTCTAGTAAAGAATGGGAGAGTCACAAGGGGGAATCAAAACCGAAGAAAATATTAAAATCTATTGAACATATGTCCTTATCTGAAAGAGCTTCATGTCGCCGTAGAATTAAATAGTTATCCGATGAAATTTGCTATATTGCTGAGATGATGTTAAATAACACCAAATGCCTACAAACAAATAGGCAGTCTACAAATGTAGACCAGATTAACATTACCTGTGCGTATGAATACATATTATTAAGATGTTACGAAGGGAGATAACTATTTACATTTTTAAACAAAGAAGATACCACTTGTATGAGATTTTACATTTTTATTGAAGCTACAAAAGAAATTGTTTGAGCAACCAAAAACGATCAATCAGCAAACTAGTATCAGCTCACGGTTCATGTACTGACATAGAAATTGACTTTCGTGCTACCCAATTTTGCCTCTTGTCTCCGTGTCAATCCCCGGTACTAATCGAAAACAACGTGGATCACACATCCTTGTGGTCATGTCATATATGAAATGAAGTCGAACAGACAACTACCATGCCCGGTTTTCTGTCTAATTCGGTATTCAATTACTGCAGCTTGACTTTCCAGAAGATTTATAATCTCAAACTTTAGTGTTTCTCCACTTCGAGCTAGTAACAAAATGGCTGCCGTAGACTAGCAGATGAGCCTGAGCACCGCGTCTATACATTATTCTTCCGCGATGACGCATGCATTATCAACATAAAGTCAATATGACATTTTAAATATGTTTTTGTGTTTTATGGCTTTATTGTTTGGTTGTTTTGAACTATCAGAGTACAACATAATTGTGTTAATGATATTTCAACGACGGATTTTATCTTTTAATGTCAATACAATGTACGTAGACTTGCACAAGCTCCAAAATCTGGGACAAATTACCTATTTGAATGGTATTTCACAAGTTCCAACTATTGAAAACATACATGTTGATTATACTATAGGCATAAAATACCTATCCACCCCCATAAAATAACAATCTACCCTATACTACAGTCATAAAATACCTATCCATCCATATGAAATAACCATCTACCCAATATTAGAGTCATAAAATACCTATCCATCCCCATAAAATAACCATCTACCCTATACTATAGTTATAAAATACCTATATATAGTTTGAACATATGGTTGCCTATGAATGGGTCAAAGTTCAATAGTATCTGACCTTTACTATCAGAAATAAATCTGTCACCAACGTGCTCCATAAAGTTTGCATGTAGTTCAATCTAGTTTAATACCTAAGTATGTAGTTTGCCCCAATCAACTTATTGGCGGTTATATATGTACATTGAACTCACAGCATGTTTAAAGGACACAAGACGCAATGGACAAATTATTTTGCACACATGTACAAAACGTAGACATATATCTGTTTCATACAAATAGTGCAATCATGTGGAGGGTGTATGCACAGTTGAAGAGAGGTCAGACTTATTTATATCTAATCTAAATATACATAAAGAATTAATAATGCAAGATATCGCAACAAACATGGATTAACTTGCATGGACAGAATCATGATTATTTATGAATAATTGACTTTTAAATTTTTAACTAATGCCGCCATTTGGTGTAATTGCTTACCTTACATAAAAAAAACTCCTACAACATAGCTCTGCGGTTATGATTGCCCAAGGTGTTTTTTTCACGGGTTGAAATACAACGAAATCTACTTTCTTGTACATCGTGACCACTGACAAATAGTTTTGGGGTGTTTTTGACAAAACATTATAATGCGAATACGTCCGAGTAGAAATAGAGTTCAAGATATTCCAAAAGCTATACACTAAATTCACATGTCCTGCACAGTTTTCCGAGCAAGAGTCTAGCGGCCGAAAAAAGTTGCATGTACATATTAATATTTGTAGTCGATCGGCCATGTTGAAAAAGAAATACTTCCTTGTACATCGTGACCACTGAAAAATAGTTTTGGGATGTTTTTGACAAAACATTACAAAGCGAGTACGTCTGAGTAGAACTATGATACGTTAAGGGACAGATATATGAAATCTAGTCATAATAAGAGTAGATGAACTTGTAATTGCTTACCTTACATAAGAAAACTCCTACAACATAGTAAATCCACTTCCTTGATCACTGACAAACTACTTTAAAGTGTTGTTGTTTTTTTACAAAACTTTACAAAGTGAGCACTTCTGAGTGGAAATCGAGTTCAAAGTTAGATCGTTTGCAATACTGAATTCCTATGTCCTGCCCAATTTTTCGAGCAAAAGTCTGGTGGAAAAATAAAACCGGAAGTTCATTACCATTGACGTCCGCTTCAAGGTTTAAAACTCCATTAATGTAAGCTTTCCGCTCTGAATATAGTGCTTAGTCCCAAATCACTGATAGTTGTGTCTAACTGCACCACTGTCCACCATTGTATCTAAATTAATAAACTGAATGAAAGATATGAATAAATGTTCCTGAAATGTTCGGATTTTGCTTGCACATCATGCGAGGAGAAAAATTGTTCGTAAAAAAGAAATACAAGTGACGTAACTTTCGTGGAATTCTCGATATAGATATAAGTCACGATCCGAATACGTTACATAAACAATACACATAATACACCCGGTACATGACAGAGTAATACAAAGCTGTACCAGACTAACTATGAGGTGGAAAGCCGCAGTTTTAGAATGGTTACGTAAAACGTTGATTAGGTACACTGTAGTCAATGTTATAATCATGTTATATGGTGTTACTAGAACTTGTTACGTTGTACTTTATTATTAAATACTCCATAACAAAACACACAACCGTTGTTGTTTGGACGATGTATTGTATGTTTTCGTACTAGAAATTAAGCATAATTTGATATAGATAATAATCACAATGACGGAATTCAAGTTCTAAAAATACTGCCAACATGATATTAAATACGATTGTTTAAATTACTCGAGACTTTGCGTAGTCGGGTAGGTATATCATATATCAATGTAAATCATTCACAAAATATATACGTGTAGGAATGTTTGGCAAGTATCCAGGCTTGATACATACTACATAACAATCAAGGTGATCACAAATCAAACTGATCCCACATTAATATATCTAATCACTGTCTATAACAAACGTCTATTTTCTATACCGTAAATACTTATGCAAATACATTACAATGCAATAAAAACTCAACCCGTGCCCATGTTATTGAACTTGTTCTTGAATAAGAATAAACCCCGAAATTTACAAAACGACATTACGAATGCGTCCGCGTAGCATAAGTATATGTAAATGTAAATAAGAGTATTTCATTGTCGCTGAAATGAGACATAACTACACCTGTACCTCGGTTTATATGATTTTAATTGTCCTGACAATAAACCGTGTCAAGTGTCATTTGTATTCAATAGTATTGTACGTCGGGGACTCCCGAGGATGTATCAAGGACGTGCGTGAAATGTTTGGCCTCTGCGAATTGTATTGTATAACAGTTTAGTATTACAATCCCTCGCTCACGCTTGAATTTCTTACTTGGAAGCTTACACAATATGCTGACAGGATAAAGAAACGCAAAGTAACGAAATATGCAACAATTATGTAACTACTCCGCCTATAATTTAAAAAACCGGTCAGACATATATAATGCTCACTGTGCACTCAAACCAGTGTCTACAGTTACTCAACCGTGCAATGTACCGTGCCACATGACGAACGTGTTAAAATGAAAACAAACACGTGCAGAATAATGATGACAGGTTCGTCAACACATTTTGTCTTACCACTTGATACTTTTAAAACATTTAAATCACTTTCCGCTATTTATTGTCAATTTTAATCTATTTGCAATCTTGGTACGGTTGACGGAAATTCAGAGGGGTCAGGCTATTGCATTGCTAATGTAAGGTCAAAGGCAACAACAGGTTTGATATGCAGATCCGTGTGAATTTTCCACACTAGAACGTATTGTTCGTTGTCTGAAAGACACCGGAAGGGTAGCCGTTCGACAACGTAGCGTAGCGAAGCGATGTCAAGACTGACCTATTCGTCTTGCCAACCTGCGTAATCACCACATTACTGTAACGTTACTGATACCGCTATCAATATGGAAGGAAATTCACTACAAAACTGTAAGTAACCGATTCAGCAAGGTTGGTCTGTGAGCTCATCGTCCTAACGTTTTATTCATGCACGTCGCGCGCGTCGTAACGATTGGTTGGCAGCACACGCTCCCAGAGGATTTCCAATGAAACATTAGACATGTGTCTTTTTCACAGATAAGTCCCGGTGCACTCTTTTTCGTCCGGACGGTCGATTATGATCTTGTGAAGGATATCTCACTGATAAAGTCACCGCTGCTAGTGGTAGCCGGGAATGTATCTGCGGTAAGATATAGGGATGAAATCCTCCGCCAGGTTGTAGTTCCATCTTTGCAACAGATTTAACTAATTTTCCAGCATGGAAATGCCCGGCCTCATGTAGCCAAAGTTTTTTTTCCCAAGATCTTCCCGCAAACCATAACATTAATCCACTCGAATGGCCGACGTAAAGTCCAGATTTGTCCACCATCGAACATATGTTCGACAACCTAGACAGGAAGGTAAGGGGAATCGGAATGTCCCCTCTTCTATCGACCAACTAAGGATTGCCTTGTTGAAAAAGTGGAACAATATCCCCATTAGAAGGATACATTCTATACTATAGTCATAGAATACCTATCCACCCCATAAAATAGCCATCTACCCTATACTATAGCCATACAATACCTATCCACCGCCATAAAATAACCATCTACCCTATACTATAGTCAAACAATAACCATTTTCCCTATAATATAGTCATTGAATATCTATCCACTCTCATAAAATAACAATCAACCCAATACTATAGTCATAAAATAATCACCTTCCCTATGCTTTAGTCATAAAATACCTATCCATCCCTATAAAATACCCATCTACCCTATACTATAATCATAAAATACCTATCCAACCTCATGAAATAACCATCTTCCCTATACTATAGTCATGAAATACCTATCCATCCCAATAAAATAACCAATAAAATACCTATCCATTCTAATAAAATACCCATCTCCCTTAAACTATAGTCATAAAATAACTATCCATCCCCATAAACTAACCATCTACCCTATACAATAGTCATAAAATACCTATCCATCCCAATAAAATAACCATCTACCTTAAACTATAGTCATAAAATACCTATCCACCCTCAAAAAATAACCATCTACCCTATACTTTAGTCATACAATACCTATCCATCCCTATAAAATACCCATCTTCTCTATACTATAGCCATAAAATAATTGTCTACCCTATACTATAGCCATATAATAACCATCTACCCAATACTATAGCCATAAAATAACTATCCACCCTCATAAAAACCTATCCACCCTCATGAAATAACCATCTACCATATACTATAGTCATAAAATACCTATCCACCCTCAAAAAAATAACCATCTACCCTATACTATAGCCATAAAATAACCATCTACCCTATACTATAGTCATAAAACACCTATCCAGCCCCATAAAATAACCATCTTCTCTATACTATAGCCATAAAATAACTATCCAGCCTCATAAAATAACCATTTTCCGTATACTATATTCATCAAATAACTATCCAGCCCAATAAAATAACCATCTACCCTATATTATAGTCATACAATACCTACCCATCCCCATAAAATAACCATCTACCCTATACTATAGTCATACAATACCTATCCACCCTATAAAATAACCATCAACCCTATACTATAGCCATACAATACCTATCCACCCCCATAAAATAACCATCTCCCCTATACTATAGTCATAAAATACCTATCCACCCTCATAAAAAACCATCTACCCTATACTGTAGTCATAGAATACCTATCCACCCCCATAAAATAACCATCTCCCCTATACTATAGTCATAAAATACCTATCCACCCCCATAAAATAACCATCTCCCCTATACTATAGTCATAAAATACCTATCCACCCTCATAAAATAACCATCTAATCTAAACTATAGTCAAACAATACCTATCCATCCCCATAAAACAACCATCTACCCTATACTATAGTCATACAATACCTATCCACCCTATAAAATAACCATCTACCCTATACTATAGCCATACAATACCTATCCACCCCCATAAAATAACCATCTACCCTATACTATAGTCATACAATACCTATCCACCCTATAAAATAACCATCTACCCTATACTATAGCCATACAATACCTATCCACCCCATTAAATAACCATCTACCCTATACTATAGTCATACAATACCTATCCACCCTATAAAATAACCATCTACCCTATACTATAGCCATACAATACCTATCCACCCCATTAAATAACCATCTACCCTATACTATAGTCATACAATACCTATCCACCCCCATAAAGTAACCATCTACCCTATACTATAGCCATAAAATACCTATCCATCTCATAAAATAACCATCCACCCTATACTGTAGCCATACAATACCTATCCATCCCCATAAAATAACCATGTACCCTATACTATAGCCATACAATACCTATCCATCCCCATAAAATAACCATCTACTCTATACTATAGCCATTAAATAACTATCCACCCCCATAAAATAACCATCTACCCTATACTATAGCCATACAATACCTATCCACCCCCATAAAATAACCATCCACCCTATACTGTAGCCATTAAATACCTATTCAGCCCCATAAAATAACCATCTACCCTATACTATAGTCATAAAATACCTATCCATCCCAATAAAATAACCATCTACCCTATACTATAGTCATAAAATACCTATTCAGCCCCATAAAATAACCATCTACCCTATACTATAGTCATAAAATACCTATCCAGGCTCATGAAATAACCATCTAACCTATACTATAGCCATAAAATAATTATCTACCCTATACTATAGTCAAAAAATTCCTATTCAGCCCCATAAAATAACCATCTACCCTATACTATAGTCATAAAATACCTATTCACCCTCATAAAAAACCATCTGCCCTATACTATAGTCATACAATACCTATCCACCCCATAAAATAACCATCTACCCTATACTATTGTCATAAAATAACTATTAAGCCCCATAACATAATCATCTACCCTATACTATAGTCATAAAACACCTATCCAGCCCCATAAAATAACCTTCTACTCTATACTATAGCCATAAAATAACTATCCACCCTCATAAAATAACCATTTTCAGTATACTATATTCATCAAATAACTATCCAGCCCAATAAAATAACCATCTACCCTATACTATAGTCATAAAATACCTATCCACCCCCATAAAATAACCATCTACCCTATACTATAGTCAAACAATAACCATTTTCCCTATAATATAGTCATAGAATACCTATCCACCCTCATAAAATAACCATCAACCCAATACTATAGTCACTAAATCCTATACTATAGCCATTAAATACCTATCCACCCTCAAAAAATAACCACCTACCCTATA